GTACCAGCCTCAGCAGCTGCAGACGGACCGGATGCAGTAGGCGGCCGCCCCGTCGGAGGCGCGCGGTTTTCTCTTTCCCTCCCGATTTCCCAGTTTTCAGTAGCTGACGAGAGTTTTCACATGGACTTAAGAGCTTTAAAAAAAGAAAAAAAAAAGCTATGCTGTTGTGAAGCAGAATTATTATTTTTATACTCCGGTAGTGGGCTAGGTGAGGCAGAGAGAGGGGGGAGTGGGCGCAGTTTTGGAAACCGAATCCCAAAGAGCCTGAGCGAGGGGGGCCGCTCGGACGCGACGGCAGGAGTAGCGATGGAACTTCACTTTTGTAAGGGGGTTTTTATTTTTGCTCTTTTTATAGTATCAGGGAAGCAAACTGCCTTTTACACGTTAGGAAATGCTCTTTGAATCTAGTTGAACCAGGGAATACCGAGTGAGCAATACGTAGCTTGAATTACATTTAAAAGCAGATTTTTTTAAAAAAAACAAAAAACAAACGCAAAATGGTGAAAGCACTGATTGTCATGTTTCAAGTCGCTATGGCCTACAGAACTTTTTCAAGTAAGAGGGTAATGTTCTTATTCTCTCCAACATGGGCATCGAACAATCAGATCTAGGAGCAGCGTGGCAGTGGGTACCGTGGTGGGCAGGCACCAAAGCTATTTTCTCATCTGTCCTGTGGATGAGTGGGACTGTGGAACAAGTGATGTGGCATTAATGGGTGCAACAGCTGTACAGACAATCAATAACACACAGTTCTGGAAAGAACACATCACTTGTGCTTGTTTGATGAGCTTGTCACATTCTAATCCCTCTCCCCATCCTGTTTCAATTTTGGGAAACTTGTATCTGCTGGTGTCAGCAATTCTGATTCTGAAATAGGATCAGGCTTTTACTACAACAGCCTTCTCTTTCTATTTATTGTGTCGACTCGTGGCTTCTGATTAAAGGCAGGCAAAGTTTGCAAACTCTAAACCCTTAAGAATTGTCTTAAGGACATTTATTTTTTTTTCCCTTTTTGAATAATTTTACACTTTTTAGTATCTATTTCAGAGTCCTATTTAAAACTATTTATTAGTGAATACAGTACATGAGACAACAAAGTTACTGAGATTACAGTTCTTCAGAGGTAATGATAATGTGGTTTATACTGTGCCTTAATAGTAATGCTATTTAAGATATTTATTTTTAAGTTTTACTATGCTGCACTCTAAAGAAAGGAACTTTAGATGTGACACTGTAAAATTATGTATTCATCTCATGGCATAAATTATTTAGTAGGTCTAGATGTAGCATATTAAATATTAACCTATTCAGCTAAAGATGTCGACTTGGATTTATTTAAATTCATATGTGCACTGTATAAGAGAGTACTCTTACATTAACACATTTTAGTTTATTTTAGTTTTTAGGTTTTTTAAAACAGGATATATTGCTAGTTTCATGCTTCCTTCTCTAATTTTTGCTCGTAGATCTCATTTATTGGTACTTCATTAGTTTAACACTATTCTTACGTAGTTTATGTAGTTTTTAAATGCTGCTTTACATTTTTCTTCTGAAACTGCAATACTTGCAATTTTTATTCTTAAGCTAAATTGAATACTATTTTACACTGTATTGGATTTTTATACTTGAACAATTTCATACAAGGGAAGACAGGTTAGCATTTTTATGGACTTTCTCCATTATCACTGGATTTAAGTATTCCCATACTAGACAGTGTTATGTAATGTAGACATGACTCTCCTGTGCAGATTATTTATTCATTATGTACATTGCTTTATAACATTTCAGATCTTCTAATCTATTCACTTGTATTAAATATAATTTTTAAAAACTCCTGTTGCATTGTTTCTAATTTTGTCATGAGAGTAGATGATGTCTCTNTGACTCTCCTGTGCAGATTATTTATTCATTATGTACATTGCTTTATAACATTTCAGATCTTCTAATCTATTCACTTGTATTAAATATAATTTTTAAAAACTCCTGTTGCATTGTTTCTAATTTTGTCATGATGAGAGTAGATGATGTCTCCTTTTAATTAGAACTTATAGCCATGATTTACATGTAACAATTTCAGTGAACAGAAAACTTCCTGGACACTCCATTTTTATACCTTCTAAGTAAATTTCATTAACTCACTCTATACCTTACATGTAGCAAATTATGTAGGTCCTTCCCTAACAGTAAACTCTAAAATTAGACTGTTCATGTCACTGCAAATGGTTAACTGAAAATCGGAAAGGAATTGGCTGTAGAGGAAGCCAGTTGATCTGAAGCTGGAGTAGCACAGTGATGCTGGTTCAAGGAAACAGGTTTGGCACTAGACTAGTACCACTTTCTAGCAATATGAATGGAATAAGTTGCTTTTTTAAAATTTTTATTTATTGCCTGGCCGGGCGTGGCTCAGCGGTTGAGCGTTGACCTAGGATCCAGGCGATCGGGGTTCTATTCCCGGTCAGGGCACATGCCTGGGTTGCGGGCTCGATCAATGACTCTCTCATCATTGATGTTTCTATCTCTCTCTCTCCCTCTCCTTTCCTCTCTCTGAAATCAATAAAGATATATTTTTAAAAATTTTATTGATTGGTTGGTTAGAGAGTGAGAGAGAGAAACATTGACTTGTTGTTCCACTTATTTATGCATTCATTGGTTGATTCTTGTTTGTGCCCTGGCCGGGGATCGAACTCCAAACCTTGGTGTTATCAGGATGATGCTCTAACCAACTGAGCTACCCAACCAGGGCAGAACAAGCTGCTTTTTGTAATCCACTTTTTGGGTGCGGTTTTTATTGATCTCATCAATAATATTGGGACAGTAATACCTGTCTCACATGGTTATTTGAATATTAAATAGAACACATCAAGTACAAGTGGAACCTTGGTTCTCGAAATTAATTCGTTCCAGAAGCTGTAAGAGAAGCGATTTGTTCAAAAACCAAATCACTTTTCCCATTAGAAATAATGTAAATTGAATTAGTCTGTTCCATATCCCCAAATGATTCCATTTTAACCTTTCTCTGTTGCCTGTGTTGGTTGTTTGGTGAGCACTTTCATGCCCTTAGCAGCCTCAGCACTCTTGATGGCCTCTTTGTGTTTTAAAATTGTGCTAATCATCTGCTTCACCGTGCCACACTCACTCGGCAGCCAGATCAGACACATGAACGCCTCTATCACACTTTGCGAGCATTTCTTTTTTAAGCTCTATAGTTGTTCTCACAACTTTCCTTTTCACTTTGGTGCTATCACTAACCTTACGACCCATGGTGACTCACTGTACCTATTTAATAATAATAAGCAGCAATAAAAGAAAAATAAAACACAAAAATATTCACAGTACAATTTCCTGAAATGTTAATGTGATGTTTCGTGGTAAACTGATTCATACTCATGCATTCTCTCTCTTGTCCCGTGAGAGACATATGACTAATCATACAGGTATCAGCTCGAAAGGGTTGTTGAATCGGGAACCAAAGTTTTGTTGGACAACTGAGACATTTCTTCCGTGAACAACTTGGTTAAGAACCGAATTGTTCAAAACAGGAGATGTTTGAGAACCGAGGTTTGACTGTACTTGGCACAGAGCCAAATAGATAGTAAGCCCTAGATAAATGATCACTGGTAGTAGTTGTTGTAATGCCTGATAGTGAAAGCTAACAAAAAATGAAGTTACCTAGTAAGATTTTTTAATTTCTTTCCACAATGACATGGCAGTATCTAATAAGGTGCACATTAGAACATCGAATGAATGTCACATTGATTATCTTAAAGTGTATACAGTATGTTATGTTCATTATGGAACAGATTGTTTGTTGGTTTTAATATTTCCCAAATCCATGAAGTAATATCTTTTATTAACTCCATTAGTTTTTAAAAATTATAAACAGTAGAAAGTTTTGATAACAGATTCTTTCACACTCTCTGCCTTACAATAACTATCATCCTACTTAGGGTCGTCATTATCTCAAACTTTAATTGCCTTTAATTTTCAAAAGAAAAATAGATACCAGCTTATCTCTAGGGAGAGACAGTGTAGTACCCCCCAGTATTAACTTGGATCAGTAAAATAATTTCTAAGCTATTTAATTCATTCAACGCATCAATTATTATTTTATTTCAAAGGACATGTTCTACATTTAACTTTTCAGATTTATGCAGAGTCACTTTTGTTCTCAATAAACCATACATTGATTGCTGAACTTTAAAATGAAACAGTATTTGATTTATCAATTAAAAATAGGTCAGGCAGTTCTGGGAAAAGCTTGTCAAAAATAGCCATACTCAGGAAAGCCAGAAGTATTTCCTGATCTATGTAATGTCAATATTAGCGGTTGTAGAGAGGGGAAGGTTTTCACTTTATAATGCTAAAGCATATATTTCTAAAAGTAAATAAAAGTTCTTAATATCTAATAAAGAAGGGGAAGTAGCCATGACATAATGTTTACATTGGTCAGGAAAGCTAGCTGTATTTGTAGAGTTAGAAAACCCCTGCATTGGATATCCAAAGAGCCGGCTGAGTCCTTTACTTACCAGCACGGTGACCTAGAACCCGTCTGCCCTAGTAAAATGTAAATTGATGGTAACCAACATAGTTGGTTACCTCTATTTACCTCTATTTACCTCTCAGATTGCACTGGTTAAATGAATTAATTTTATGAGAGCATTTTAGAAATTCTAAAGCATTAGACACGTGGAAATTATAGGGAATATGTACAATATTAATTTGGAAATTGATCTCAATTCTCTCATATCAAGAGGACAAAACTGTAGCTTGCGATGTTACCTTTATTCTGTCCCAACCAAGCGACAGCTAAGCTTGCTGTGCAACGAGAGCAGTACAAAAAATAGCATCGAAAGATGGAAAGATTGCCCAGATAGAAGGGAGAGGCGATGAGAAGATTATGGAATACATTTCTCTCCCAGGGGAGCTATATTTAGTTCCTTCCTCGCTGCTGTGAAATTGTTCTTCTTAATTCCCTCTGAGGCGTGAAAGCACAGGAAGATGGCAGCCTGGGCTTCGGAGGGGCAGAGGTGAAAAGAAACCAAAAAATAAATAAATGCATTTTCGTGCTTAGTGTTGTCCTGTCTTCTTGGAGAGTTCCAGGCTGTTTCCATGGAAATTCTGACTTGTTTTGCTTAAGCCCTGGATGCAGAAGAGTTTTCATTTGGGGTATTTGTTCTCAGTTGAGTTTTAGAAGTTCAATCATGACTTACAGCTAAGTCATTTAAATTCTAGGCTTTGAAATCCCAATCGTCAATTAAAATGAGAAAGAAATCAGACAATACATGTATAAATAAGCACTTTAGAAATTTCAGATAAAAATGATATACATTGATAGCTTTGATGCCATAAATTAGTTCTGTCTTATGGCCCAGTGTTTGGTCATTCTATCCCAGCTTCTTCAGAGAGAAAGTCTCTAAAGTCCCTTTCTCTC